GCGCACTCACAGAAGAACAGAGAAAGGATTTGGGTAGAAGAGCAAGTAGTACTGGGCTTCAGTATTACTTATAAGCTCTTCACCAGACCCATGACTTTCTTTCTCAAATGTCTCAATATTCCAGGAAGCAAAGAAACATGATCTCTCTCGCTGTCTCTCTTGCTGTCTGTCTGTCACTCTCGCTCTCTCTGTGTCTCTCTCACTCTGTGTCTGTGTGTGTGTGTGTGTGTGTATGTGTGTGTGTGTGTGTGTGTAGGAAAGATCTCAACTCATTGCCCTTAAATCCATTCCAACTCAAGCTGGCCCCATGTGTGTCAGAGCAGACTACTCCCTGGGGTCATCTTGATGGAAGATCACCAGGTCTTTCTTCCTTGACCCTCCAGCCTTTCACTTAGCCTAGCCTAAACCACTTGTACCCCCTGTCACCAAATCCTTAGTTCAAAACGTGATGGAGCCTCTCCTGAGGAGGACACTGTGGTTGCTCAGGGCGGTCACCGGAGGGCTGGGAGCTGATACCCGGGAGCTAAGTGGACGCATAGGGAATCCACAGCGCTGACCTCTGACCTGGGCCTCGGAACGAGCAATGAGTAATTCCAAGTCAAGGGGAGGTTGTCATTCCACCATCTCAATTTAGGGATTTGGCCAAATGGGACAAAGGGAAAGGAAAGCTTGGACCTTCGCTTGTGACGGGCAGGAGAAGGGAATGGTTGTGGTCATTAGGGCCAGTTGTGTCCACTTGGCCTTTACGGTCCAGATGGATGAACAGCTGGGATGCCCAAATGGAAGTAGGTTAGCTTTTAATCCTGTCTGAGTTCTGGAGGACTTTGCCTGGGGTTTTGATGCTTCTGTTTTTACAGAGACCAATGACTTCATTTTTAAACTGGAGTAATAGGAAGTTTATTTCCTAGACGCTTACAGGTGGCAGCCCCGCCCCGTCACTGGGCTTCTCCTTTTACAGGCATACCTCATTTTACTGCCCTCTGCTTCACTGTGCCTTGTAGATGTTGTATTTTTCACAAACTGAAGATTTGTGGCAGCCCAGAGTCGAGCAGCTCTGTCATCAACTTGCTTCCAGCCGCGTGAGTTCGTGCTGTGTCTCTGCATGGTGTTTGGCTGTTCTCACTCTGTTTCTGACATTGCCGTCATTTATGACACACCTGGTGGACCACAGCAGAGCGGGAACATGGTTCTATGCACCAAGAAGCCAAAGAATTCGTGTTGACTCGTGATACCCGAGTCATTGCCATGGTCTGGAACCTGGCACCTCCGAGCCTGGCTGGCATGAATCAGCTGTAAGGGGCAGCGCCTCCCCTGCTGTCTTCCCTCGTATGCCAGTTGCTCAATGTTCTTTCAGGCTCTGGATCCCAGCTTCTAACCCTCAGTGTTCGATGCCAGCTTCTCCTTTTACATCCTTCCTCACAGTAAGACTCTGCACAGAGGGCACTTTCTCACTTCGTGGTTCACACTCTCTTGAAGAAATCAAGTAACCAGACATGCTATGGAGATACCAGGTCGTCGTCTAGATACGAACCAATTCCACATGTATGAATAGATCATAAGAGACTTGGGCTGTGGGGTTTAGCACCACAGTAGAACTAAAGAATCCTTTGTGGTTTGTGTTGGCACAGGTTTGCTGTGTCCCCAGAGCTTTGTGTAGGAGATAAGAACAATTAAGAGGCAGAATGTGAAGCTTATCAAGCACTAACAGGCTGCTGGGAATGAAATGAGCCCGACGCAGTAACAGAATGCACGTCCTCCGGCAGCTTCAGGAATGACTGAGAGAGAAGAGCACAAGTCTGTGGCCGCTGACAAACCAGCAACATCCCCGCGTCCTGATTTCAAGTGGCCTTTGCACACTCCTGGGTCCGCTCAGAAATCATCCCAGTTGTTCGACAGCAAAAACCCCACACAGCAATAGCAGAATTGACCCCAATTTGTGGCAGCCTGGTTTATGTCAGAGACGTGGGCTTCATGGGGTTTTCAAGAACTGATTTCTTGGCGAATTCCAGGCCTTTCTTTCAAGGCACCTCAAAGTAGATGTGAACTGTGAACCATTAAGTTAGTGTTTACCTGAATATATTAGTCATTTCCACCACCCCAAGTCTCCAGGTTTTGGGGGATTTTTGTTGGTAGTGGGTATGGTGGTTTTTATTGGTTTGCACCAATTCATATACACTATGTTTGGGGGGTTTTTTGGGAGGGTATTAATTTCAATGAACATTTACAGTTTTGGATTTCCATTCATTCAGTGTTACACTTTTCTCCCTGCCCTCCCCTCACCCCATCCCCAGTTCGTCCTTCTCTTTGAAAAGTAAAAGAAAAATTCCCTCATTGATATGCAATCCCCCCCCGCACTCCCCCACCCACCCCACCACCCGCCGCCCGAGTATACTCCACTCTGCAATCTTCACTCCGGACTCTTATGATAATCATAATACCTTATATATTGCTTTTGAACTGTTCTTTCCCTCATACACTGTGTTTTATGTCATTAATTACTGTTGATCAGTGCCTTTTATCACTCCATCTCCTCAAGTCCCCGTTGCTCTTATCTGGTCCTTCTTCACCCCATCTGCCCACAGAACTCAGCTGCCCAGTGACCCCCTGCACTCCCCTTTTCTCTTTCCCCTTCGTTTTTCAAACATTTATCAGTATCTTTCACGTTTATCCTCCTATTTTCATGGTCGTGGTCTCCTTTGTCCTTTTGTGATTGAGTCTCATGCAACGTAATGTTCTCTCAGGAAGCACTTCTGGTTTAGCAGCAGGTACTTGGCGCTCCCAGCGGAAAGGCATCAGTTCTAATCTACCAGCTGTTCTGAGGGAGAAAGATGAGCAGGCTCTTCCCATGTGATTTGCTGCCTCTGAAAACCCACTGGAGGGTCAGCTGTGGGTGGGCTCCAACTTGATAGTGCATAACAGTGTCCTCTAGACTCTTCCATGTTGTCTGAAATATTGTGAACACTTCATTATTCTTAGTTAGTGTGTACTGTCAGAACTGACCCATACCTGACCCGTCAGCAGGTTTTCAGAGGCAGTTAATCACACAGGAGGAGATTGCCCATCCTTCTCCCAAGGTGCAGCCTCAAACCACATGCCTTCAGGATTGCAGTGCAGCTTCTTGCTGCTAGGCCACCAGAGCTCCTCATTGTTCTTCAGTGCTGCATAATATTCCACTGTGTGAATGTATCACAGTTTATCCATTTGTTTGTTGACAGGCATTTGAGTTGTTCCATTTTCTTGCTATTGTGAATAACACCGCTATGAACTTAAGTGTGTGTATTTCTGTTTGTGTTTCAGCTCTGATTTCCCTGGGGTATGCTCCTAACAGTTGGAATAGCTGGGTCATATGGGATTCCTATGTTCAGCTGTTTGAGGAAGCACCGTACTGTCTTCCATAACGTTTGTACCATTTTACAGTCCCACCAGCAGAGCATGAGAGTTCCAGTCTCTCCACACCCCCCACCAACATTCACTGTTTGTTGTCCTGTTGAACTTTACTACTGCTGTTGGGGTAAGATGGTATGTAATTGATGCTCTGATTTGCATCTCTGATTGCCAGTGATTTTGAACATTTCCTCATTTGTTGTTCATGCGAATGCCCTCTCTGGTGAAGTCTTTTCATGTTTCTTGCCCATTTTGTAACTGGATTGTCAGTCTTTTTCTTGTGGAAGTCCTGCATTCTGTAAATTTTAATTATTGGTTCCTTGTCTGAAATGTTGTTGCCAGATATTTTTCCCAGGCTGTGGGCTTTCTTTTCACCCTACCGGAGAAGGTTTCAGAGATTTCATTTTTAGAAGGTTGCTTTCATAAATTTTACATTCTCCTCGTTGTGCATTTTTTTTGCTATATT